GGCCAATCCAATTCGTTATATGGTTATTTCAATTCCTTGTACGGTTATCTCAATTCCTTATATGGTTATTTCAATTCCTTATATCTCAACAAAAAAGACTGACAGATGGTTATCTCTGACTTGTTCTCATTAAATATGCATTTTATAATCAACTTAATTTCCCACATGTGATGTACATTCATGTTCAAACAAAATAAATTAATCATCTCTTTATACTCGTCTCCAGACAGTCACATTATTGCATCGTTCTCCAGGAAAACAACACTCTCCTCAAGAGACAACACAACTTGTCAAGTCCCTCTCAACTTCAGTGAGAAACAAAGAGTTGCAACAAACTATCTAGAGGGGGAATCAGAATTATATTTGCATATCACAGGATACTTATGACATGGTGGGAGTGTGTACAAATCCTTTGCAATCTGAGCAGTCGCTGAGTTGGAGTGGCTTGTTAGCTGTTGTACATTTCTGGTAGCATCGCTTATGCGTGGGCTTTGAATACGAACACAACGTTCAGCACCATCAATGAGGTTTTATTAACAAATATTCTTACCAGTTTTAATAAATGTATTTGTGGGAAAATCAGGAGTTAACAAAAAATATGCCAACTTTGACCTCAATCTCATTTTTAGCAGGTCATTCACCTACATGTACATGTATCATCAAATACAGCTGTGGTCATATTTGCTGACAAACTAAAGTAGACATTCCTTATCAGTGGAATAAAGCTAATGTTTATACATAAAAGCAGTGGTTGTAAATTATAACTGTACATTTACTCCCAAATCACACCTGTTCATATGGGGATATGTCCTGGTTATTTTTATTTACATGTTTATAGATAATTTTAACATTTTCACCACCAGATTTTCTCGCATAAAATTATTTCGCACCTTTTACGTATATTCTTCTATTAATCTAGAAATGAACCAAAATTTTGAACCCAATAGACAAATTTTGAGAAAATTTTCAGTTTTTACTCAAAAAATCTGGCTATTTTTGTTTCAATCTTCTGAAGGAAAGTGCAGACTATAATCTGGAAATGAACACAATTTTTGGACCCAATAGACAAAATTTGAGTAAATTTTCAGTTTTTACTCAAAAAATCTGGCTATTTTTGTTCCAATCTTCTGAAGGAAAGTGCAGACTATCGACCATCAGTTTTTGAAAATATAAATGATTTGCAATAGCCGTGTAAATTAGTTTCTTTTACAATCCATGCTAACAGGTTAAATACTCTATTGTTAGAATCATATACACATAAGTAATTTAGGATATTAAACATATAATACAACATTAAATATTCACTGGATTTTAATCTACTTTTAATAACAAGCAAAATTCAGTAAATTAAACTCACATGAACATTACGATGTAACTCATTATCATTTTGGAAAATTAATTTTAAAACCCACTGAATATAAACAAATAGTGATATTAAATACCGACAGAAATTAATACTTTCAAAATATGCCAAGGCAGCTGGAATAAATTCCCTACTACATGTATGTAAATAAAACAAGAAGAAATATATCTTAAGATTTTTTTTATTCAAAATGTACAACAATTTTCTGTGACCTATAAGAATGCCTTATATGGTCATATTTGGAAATCAACACAATATACGTAATATGAGAAGCCTTCATTTCTATCTCTCTGTGCTGTGCAATACACATTGATAATTATAATATGTGGATGGCATACATGTACTCAATTCTATTGGATGTAAAGCAGGTTTTTCATTAAGATTTAGAGTAGGAGGGGGGCAATTTATAAAAGTAGGGTCATTCTAAAATTGAAGTATTAGTTTCAAATTTTCAAAGTAGTCAGAAAATGGTATAAAAAGGTGGGCAATTTGACCAGCGAGTTGCTTCTAATGAAAGCCCAGTAGAGTCAGTACAAAGGTTAATCATATTGATAGATATACTTTTCAATTTATATAAAATTAATGCGAATATTAATTTAAATTTGAGTTGTTAAGTCACTTTTTAAGTGATTTTGATAAATTTTAAATAAACCAATAATTAAATCTAAAAACAAAGTAATGTAAAATTGGATTGTTATGAAAACAAAATGTCACTGTGACCTTGTCATTTCTACAAAATTTGACCTTTCCAGACTCACAAAATTTTCGAAAATTTGTGTTTTCACAAAAAAATAATAATCCTGCGCTATGATTAACATACACAATAGAATGGTTTTGAATTTCAATGACATTTTAAGAAGGAAATAATTGACATACATGTTATGATTTCAACCCCTAGAAAGTACCAGGATGTGTGACCTTTATACTAATGTAGGAGTTGTGCATAAAACTACAAGTACATAGAAAAGCTCATATCATGTATTCACAAGAATACAAAGTTAGTTTTGTAGCATGTTTGAATGACAGGAAACTGATCTTCTAGTAGAAGAAATATAGTACTGTATTTACTTTATTAAAAGCACAATTCTATTAGTTTGTGCACTTAAACCAAAAATAACATTAATGTAATGTTCAGGGAGTCTCAAAAATTAGTCCAATGAAAATGCTTAAATGTCCTCAAGAATATTGAATAATCTAAATATGACTTATTTTTAAAAACAGCACTACTAATAAAACAAATATGGTATATACATAATTTGCCAGATAGGTCATTGACTTGCATTATAACAAATTTTTTTGTATTTTTATAGAAACTCTTATTTTATTGTTAACCTCTTAATTTCACTGCCAGAAATGATTTGGGGGATTTTCTTGAAGAAAGAATTTCTGATAGGGGGACTACTGGCCAGAACTATTTCATATCATTTATTTTAACATTCATTGTTGTACATGAATCATCAAAACTAGGAATGACTTATCAAAACTAGGAATGACTTATCAAAACTAAGAATGACTTATCAAAACTAAGAATGACTTATCAAAACTAAGAATGACTTATCAAAACTAAGAACAACTTATCAAAACTAGGAATGATTTATCAAAACTAGGAATGATTTATCAAAACTAGGAATGACTTATAAAAACTAAGAATGACTTATAAAAACTAAGAATGACTTATCAAAACTAAGAACGACTTATCAAAACTAAGAACGACCTATCAAAACTAGGAATGATTTATCAAAACTAGGAAATCAAATTAGTTATCATGATTTGAGACACCTTGATTCAATTTTGAATCACATTTTTTCATATACATATTATTCAGTGATAACTTACATTTATAAAGAAACACTTGCCATGTATGAGTGCTACACGTGAGTAATCTAATCCAATGCACAGTAGCAAGCAGTGACTTCCAGGCCACTGTATGAGTGACAAATAATAAGTAACCTAGGGGATCAATGAAACTAGGGGGCCATTGAGCCATCCCATGACAGTCTAGAATACACAAGCTGAAGAAAATTCTCGGTAATTAAACATAATTAGTTATTACTTAGTTGTTCAAAAAATATCAGTTATTATTTCTGATCAGGTAATCTACTGATTAAAAAAAAATCAAATAATGGAGTCTGTGGTGAAGCCATAGTAGTTATTGGTTTAGTATAGAATTTCTAAGTTCTAATTTTGCAATAAATTGGGTATCAAAAAATAGAGTAATTCACATCCTAAGTGGGAATGACAAGTCCTTGGGGGATAAATCATGTGACTGGTGTCTCAGGCTTTTGCTGCTGTTACAGTGCTTCATCGAACTCGAGCAATATAAGATTTCGGAGCTGTGTCAATTATGAAAGAGTTCCTCCTTAGAGCCCCCTTACTTATGGCTCTAATTTTAATTTTGTCCCTCCCTCATTTTAATTGTATATGCCCCTCTTCAGGACAGTTATCTGGAGGAGTATATCATGCAATTGCATTGGGGACTGGAGTGTTAGGGTTAGGTTTTAGGGTAGGGGTCATTTTATGGAAGTTTTTCCATAAAAATTTTAAAATTCAGAACCTTCGCTGACCTAGGTAGTTAGGAATGATACCAGGCGTGTTGATTGCATGTATTGTGCCATGCACAGTTTATTACAGAAATAGAACAGGGCTGTTTACACATACACACCACCCATTACTAGACCCAGCAGAAATATAAGTACTTTACTCAGCTATAAAATATATAACGGACTTTACCAGGACAACAAAACAATCTTACAAAATCTCCAATTAGATTTAAATTAGTCAATAGCACACACAATACGAATGATAGCGAGGTGTATAGGAGTATGGAAATAAACCAAGAAAATTACATCTTTATACTGTATCTATGACTTTTGTATCAATATGGCAAATTAATGTCCATCTTCTTATAATTAATTACTCGAATATATAATATAATATTATTATGAATATTGACCTATAATATATTATACCATTTATTGTTTTATAAAGCCATTCAATGCCTTATGTTCTAAAACGAATCACACGATACAAGATCTGTTGTATTCCAAAGAATACCAACAAAAGACTTGCAATTTACTGTCACTATGACAACAAAGAAATCTACGAAAATTACATTTTTCTCTTATTACTTCGATTCTCAGATATTGACTGAGCTGCCTGCATGGAAAAGGCCAAATTTGGTTAGTTTAGTGCCGGGAATGAGTGGGTGTGGCAATCCGTGTGCGATGAGGCCAAACTAGTTCTATTTCTGTGCGCGCACAACCATCACAATAAACTTCTCTGTTCGCAGCAATGGTGAGACTCCAAATGACAACGTATTAATTCTCAACGGAGGAAAGAAACAGTAGTTTTCGGAATGAACAGTTGACAGAAGCTACCATAACAAAACTAATGCTTCAGTTATTATTTTATTTTTAACTATTTAAGTGTATTATTACTAAGGATATTGATCGAAATACACCCGTAGATTGGGTAACTCTTGACAAAACACGATTGGTTCACTTTTTGACACTTACCCCTTGTTTCTTGGCTTGATCATTGAGTGCTCTAATCCAGGAGTGTACGAATTCAGGAGATTGGCTTTGGTGCATGTAAAGCCATGCAATCGTAGAGTTGATCCATTCAGAGCTTTCTGCGACCATCGACTTCTGTCGCGATGGACTACCGCCTTGCACTTTTCCGGAATCAATAGCTGCTTGTCTACGTTTGGTGAGAATCGTGGTCACCCATGATGTTACCAGGATGGTAACTGCAGCAAAAACGACCCATCCAACCAGGAACATATCCAAAACATCGACATTCCCACTTCGCACATTTTCGATATAACTGAGGACACCATCTTTGATAGTGTTACTGATGTTCGTAGCCACCGATGCCATTTTTGTTGGGATTTTGTCCGATTTCAATGATCTTACAACTCCTCGCTATTTCTGGTGATTGTTTAAACCATCAAGATGTTGCCTGCAGTGTTCTGGCGGTGTCTGAAGTGCGGAAACAACACAAACCGCGATAAAAAAACGGAGCAAGTGAAAGACCTCCCGTGATCAATGTCCCAGCCGTCAACATTCGGTGCACACGTCACGTTGGGAGAATTACATACGTGATCAGCGCAGCACTACCATAAAATGTCACCAAACGCGGGGTATCCAGCCATAAAGACCAATATTTGGGTCTAACGCCACATACAAAATGTTAGCGATGATGGAAAACCTCTGAAAACCAAAGCGTCACCGCCGACTTCAGTACGAGGAATTCAAGGAATTCACAGGTTCCCGCTGTTTTACACGTGCGCATGTTCTATAAATTGACTAAAATTATCTGAAACATCGCCCTCAGTGTTCAAGTGTATGAATATTATTTGTGAGCGGAAAGTGATTATTACATAGCCGTATTACGTAACTACCCACGTAATTAGTTTGTTGTAAAAGACTTGAACAGTAACTGCAGTATTTATCTGTAATTATGTTGCCTATTCCTGTCAATGAATTACCCTGAAATATAATTTTCAGTTGCTTATTTGGTGAACTCCCTCAAAATAAAAATATTGAAAAACAATGATGATACCACATTTGAATTAATAAATTGATGAAACTTGCATTTTCTTTCCAACCCAACAAATTAAACACACATTAAAATTTTATGTTATTAGGATTAAGTTTTTATTCAAAGAAAAATAAATTTACATAAAAACAATATCAAGTTGGCTTCTATCTACTGCTGTTTGCTGAAAAATAATTGTCTCAAATTTCAATCATAATTTTACCAGCTGATAAAAACCACACCATATGTGCTCTATTAGAAGCACACCTCAAATTGATGTAATAAACAATAAACATGTTTATTTTGGTGTTAATTGATAATCTGATGATATAAATTTTTGAATTCGTAAATGATAACATTTTGATAACTTTTATTCAAGGGCATGCTGTAAATAGAGCAAATATGGATATTTTTTCAATTTTTTGGCAAATTAACTAAAAATTTTCAACATTTTCCATGACTGACATTTAACTACTCAATTATTATAGAATACGAATATTAATGTGAACACTTGGATGTGCTTGCAATGCCATATCCCAGTTTGCCACCAGAGGGCAGCATTTCAGAAACTTTAATGTAGCGAGTTGATTAAAGAACTGATTTGTTTCTGGCCATCACTGAAGTCAGTGTATCTAGTTTATTTCAGAACAAAATGGTGTTAGAAATGCAAAGAAAAAAATAATTCATAGCAAAAAATAAAAAAAAGGTGTATCACCACCACTTTTTGAACATCTCTAAATTTCTTTTTGTTGCCCTTAATTATTTTTCACAATCATATCAGAAATATTATGATTCAGGGAAAGTATTCAAAGTACAGTATTTGTTCTATTAGTAGCACATGTCCTTATTTAAATTACAGAGATGAGTGTACATATTTAAAGAGGAGGGGATCGTCACCTACACACACCCGAAAATTGAGTCGCAAACAACAATAATAATGCACTCTAAAAATGCAAAAACACATGGGGAGATGCTTTTTTGGAAACAATGACACACTATGGCTTCCTGGTACACACGGAGGTGATGACTTCCCTACTTTAAATGATGTAGCATACAATATTTGCAAATGTTGGCATACATACATGTGTACTTCCATTAGTGCCAGTATGATAACTGTCACCATTCTCAAAAAAAAATAATTTGTTTTGGTGTGTTTTTAACATTTTCACCACCAAAGTAGTCCAGAAGTAGTGCACTTTCCTTCAGAATATTGGGACAAAAATGGCCAAATTTTTAGAGTAAAAATTGAAAATTGACTCAAATTTTGTCTGTTGGCTCCAAAATTAGGGTTTATTTCCAGAAATATTGAACAATACTGTAAAATACTTTATTTTCTCTTGAAATTAATTTTCGTTGAATGAATGATTCAGTGAAAAAAAAT